TTGCTATGACGTCAGACTAATGAGGTCGCCTAATTGAACTGCAAGAAAAGGACGTTAGAATGTTCGGGGTGCTTTACCTGGTGTGGGCACTCTGATACTTAATTTAGCGAGTTGGAGATTTTTGAGAGAGCTAAAAGTAAAATTGCTAGAACACTAGGAGAGCTAAGTTGAGCGTACCTTGTAAGGTTGGAGGCAAGGCTTTTATATAGGCAAGTTACCATGGGCCTCATGATTAGACCTGCTCATGGGCCGGGTAGCCTGACGGGTTGGCCCGACCCAACCTGTTATTAAGTTGGGCTTGCGAGCTCAGTCTCAAGCCTAAAGCACCGGGCCTGACTTGATACTATATATTAAATAATAAAAATATATTTTATTTAATAAAATACATATATATATATATATATATATATATATACAATATTTTTCTTTGTTCTTCTCCTTTTTTTTCCAAGTAATAGTGAAATGTTTATTATTGTTGAGTTTTGAAGGTTTTTAATATAAATAAAATATTTTTTTATTGAATAAAAAAAGAACAAAATTTTTGTATTAAATTTCTAGTCGGGCTTGGGCTCGGGCCCATGTTTCGGGCTTTATATGAGGGTTGGGCTCAAGTTCAAGACTTAGGCCTAATGGTCGGGCTCGGGCCTGAGTGTATTTTGTTGATACATATACAAAGCCCGGTCTGACCCATGAACAGGTCTACTCACGATGCATGTCCGAGATCCTTGGCTTGTTTGGTCCGAAGTTGGTTTTGAACCCGAAAATGGACCGAATCGGGTGGAGAGAAGATGAACTCCATTGACGTGGTGTCGTGATCCCGAGAAGATCGAAGACAATTGGCTTGCTTCTAGATTGAGGTTATGTGGCACCTCGACAAATTGGTACATATAGTTGAGCTACTCGAGCCTTGGTCTAATTAAGTGACCCGAGGTGCACGAGGTGGCTGGGATCGCTAAGGTGTCACCACATCATGTATCGTCACTGAAAGAATGGTAGGATCCATCTAATGGACGCCATGAAGGTTGCGGAATGGGTGGGCGGATTTCAAAAACTTTCCTAGCTTCTTCCAACTGGGAATCATATTCCTTAAATTTAGAATACAATATTCAAGGATCATACTTGAACCATAATCGAACCAGATCTGAACCAAAAGGAAAGAGAGGAATTATACATGATCCAGAGAAGCAGTATCTCCCAAAGTTGGTGTTCATGCCCAAAGAGGACACCAAGATCCACTCTTGCTGAAGATGACATAGCTGTATGTGGAACGAAACTAGCAGAGTGCGTCCTACACACTGGATCCTTCGCAAGAATCTTCTGGAAACTCTGAGCACCATATCTTTTCAGTCTTTTCTGCAAAGCTGATGTCAAGAAACAATTTCTTGATTTCTTTCTTCTTCAAAGATCGAATCTTGTAAGGAAGAATGGCGGCGACTGGAGGAGAACTCCTGGGACGAAGATGGCTGAATAGCTTCTCTTCTTTTTGGAGTCTGTATGAGATCAAATCTCTATTCGCAGGATGCTTTCTTGCTTTTCCCAAACCCTAGGTTCGAAATCTGATATTAATCTCTCTTAGGGTTTCTCCTCCTTTCTTCTTGATTAAGAAACCTCATAATTAGGAGTTATCCCAATCCAAATCAGTATTTGGATAGGGGATGATCTTTATCCTATCTGTAGATTAAGTTAGCTTACTCCTGATCTTATCAGGAGGTTACCAGATTCAAATCTGATTTGAATTTGGTCTCCTAGAGTGGATAAGGTTAA